TCACCTGTCCGTCCGGAATTTAAGTCAGAAAGACTCTTAACACCCCATACTGTTTAAAAAAATAAACGACGAAAATCCCCCTTGCTGTAAAGCTAAGCATATTCGTGCGGGAGGCGCTGCCCTGAATCCAGTGTGCCGGACGCGGTGCCACCTCCTGGCCGCGCCAGGTGACGTTAACCCCGTAACCGACCCCCCAGTCCACCGCAGAGCGACGTCAGCGCCCGCCCGCCGCAGGGTGAGAAGGCGGCTGTCAGGAGCCCCTGGCGCCGTCCCTGCGCTGCGGTGCTGGGGGGCTGTCCCTCTTTAGGGACGAGGAATTCTGTGTGCCGGACCCGGACCCAGGGCCTGCGGTGCCAGCAAAGCCGGAGAGCGCGAGCCCGCTTCTAAGACCCGAGCAGTGCCCGTCCAGGAGCGCGAGAGGAAGGGCCGCGGAATCCCGGGGCTGGCCCGGGACAGCGGCCGGTCCCAGGCAAGGAACGGCCGGGTCTCCGCCTCGGGGGAGCTGTCCCACGCCCGACCCGCCCGCGCATTTGTCTAATACCAGAACCTCCCCTGCACACAGGCCCGCTTTGAAAAGGGTTGAACACCCCCAATGACATCTACCTTGAAGTGTCTATTTTTCTCACATATTAAAGACATTTGAACTCATTCAACATTAAAAATGAAAAATGATATATATAACTCATTTATTCTGCAACCTGCTTCTCTACTTAAAAGGCATGAACACAACTATAATACGAACCCGATTCAGGCAATTTTGTTAAAAGAGTCATTCCCTGAATTACATCAAAATGTGTTCACACCTGCTTGACAAACATAACGAATAACAATTTTTCACTCCCAACCCACGGCTACAGCAGGTTTCCAACTGTTTTACCGCTGCCCAGCCCCCACCACCACTTCGAAGCCTCTGGGCCCCCCCACCCCCAACAGACTTCTGAAACAGCGGCCAGCTCGCCTACCTCTGTGAGTTGAGTCCCCCCACCTGGCGGTGTCCCCGCCCACCCCTGCAGGCCACGCCCTGGGACTGAGCTCCAATGCCACCTTCTCTCAGTGATCGCACTTTGTGTGACTCATCTGAATGATATTTAGCTTGTAGTGGTTCCCATTAGAATTATTTTGGCATTATTTTTAGCTTTTTTATAAGCTCTTGAAGACAAGAACCTTCTCTCATACATACCTGAATCCTCTGGTTTAACAACAATAGCGTCTTGTACTTGGTAGGCCCTCGGGTATCTGATAAACGGAATTCAGGAATGAAGACATCCAGTTGCATAATAAAGCAACTCAAAATCAGCCTGGGCCTCAGGTAAAGAAGGCCACTAAATGCTAAGGTGAGGCCAGCTGCTATCAGTGCTTCTCAATTTAGGTGCACATTCCAATCACCTGGGCCCCACCAGGCCCAGCGCCATCAGCATCCCTGGGGGCGGGACCAGAAGTCGGCTTCGGCACTCCCCGGGAGCGACGCCCGTTTGTTTTAAGCAGCACCTGCTCCCTGTAAAGACCTGGCCTTAGGGGACATCACAGGCCCGAGACACAGTTCTCACACAAGAGCCCCCCCAGCCCAAGGCCCTCGGGCGCCGACCTCCACGCTGTACTTAGAGGCTGCAAACAGCCCTTACCTACAGGCCAGACAGAAATAAAAATTGGGTTATGTACGACTACTCTCTTCTAAAAAGAACTGTCCTTCCTCAGAGACTCTCAGCTCCAAAGCCCCTCGCATCCTCCCCACCACCGTCCACACACCCTCGCCCAGCGGTGCGGCCAGGTGGCCGCTCCTGAGCAGCAAGGCAGCCAATTCAGGGGGCTGCGGCCGGGCCCTGCCACCAGCACCCCCACCCCCTGCCACCAGCTCGCCCGCCACAGAGCCTGCACCCGGGTCCAGGCAAGTCTGCAAGGACAGCAGTCCGGGCCTGGCCGGTCCGGATGGCACCTCTAGAATTTTAGTTTGTTTTTTTCTCCCATAAAGAGGGGTTCAAGTAGGAAATTTTTTCTGATAATAAAAATAACACTTTTTAACTATAAAATTTCAAACAATTTTAAATGACAAAAACTATAAAGTAAAAGTTATCCCTCTGCCACCCCAAAGACATCTTATTTAAGAGTTTAGTATACAGAGAGTCTAGTCAAGGTGGCTCGAATCCTCCCACAACCACATCAAAATTACAACTTAACTACAGAATCACCACCACTTGAGAACCGCCTGAAATATAGCTGAAGAGAAGTCCTATAAAACTAAGGGTTTAAAGAATAAGCCACGTCAAGGCTGGGATTCCACGATGGAATAGGTGAAGCGGAGGACTGAATCAACGATTTGGATGAAAAAGATGCAGGAAAAAACCCAATCAGAAGAGCAAAAAGAAAAAAAGAATCCAAACAAAATGAGGACAGTACAAGGAGCCTCCGGGACAACTGCCAATGTACCAACATTCGCATCACGGGGGAGCCAGAAGGAGAAGAGAAACCAAGGAAATGAAAACCCGGGTGAAAAAATGATGATGGAAAACTCCCCTCTCCTGGTGAAGGAAACAGACATGCAAGTCCAGGAAGCACAGAGAGTCCCACACAAGAGGAACCCAAACAGGCCCGCACCGACACACATCATAATTAAAATGCCAAAGGTTAAAGACAAAGAGAGAACCTTAAAAGCAGTGAGAGGAAAGCAGCTGGTTACTGACAGGGGAGCTGCCATAAGACCTCCAGCGGATTTCTCAACAGAGGCTGAGCAGGCCAGCAGGGCTGGCGAGAAGTATTCAAAGCAAAAAAAAGCAGGGACCTACAGCCAAGAATGCTCTACCCAGCAAAGCTATCACTTAGAACCAAAGGGCAGATAATGAGCTTCCCAGACAAAATAAATAAATAAATAAACCCTAAAAGAGTTCATCACCACCAAACCAGTATTAGAAGAAATGTTAAGTGGTCTTTTTTAGGAAGAAAAAAAAGATAAAAATATGTATACATGAGAATACCACAATGGCAATAAAGGCGTATGTATCAATAATACATACTTTAAATGCAAATGGCTTAAATGCTCCAAGTAAAAGACACACCATGGCTGAATGGATAACAAGACCCTTCCATAAGCTGCCCAGAAGAGAATCACTTCAGGTTGAAAGACACAGACAGACTGAAAGTAAAGGGATGGAAAGTGATATTTCATGAAAACAAAAACAAAAAAACAAAACAAACTAGGGTAGCAACACTTGTACCAGATACAACAGATTTTACAACAAAGGTTATACAACAAGAGACAAAGAAGGACCCCACAATTCCACTTCTGGGTATTTAAGAACCACAAAACACTAAATCAAAAAGATATATACATCCATATGTTCGCTGCAGCATTATTTACAACAGTCAAGATAGGGAAGCAACCTAAATGCCCACCAGCAGATGAGAGGGTAAAGTGGCACATGCACACAACGGACGACTTAGCCAAAAAAAAGAAAATGAAATCTTGCCGTCTGCCACAACAGGGATGATCTCGAGGGTACTGTGCTGAGTGAAGTAAGTCGGACAGAGGAAGACAAAGCCTTCTGATTTCACTTATACGTGGAATCTAAAAATAACAAAGCAAACAAACAAGCAGAAGAGAAACAAACTCAGAGAGAGCACATTTTCACAGATGCCAGATGGGAGGGGCGGGAGGGGGGCCGGGTGAAGAAAAGGAACAGATGAAGAAGTACAGACTGGCAGCCACAGAGATGTCACGGGGATGTAACATACAGCACAGGGAGCGCCGTCGGCAACACGGCACTGACTATGTGTGGGGTCAGGTGGGTACTAGATCCATGGGGGTGATCACTTCTGTTTACTCACTGTACATCAATAACTGGAAAGGAGAAAGTTATTCCAAGTTAAAAAAGGATTAAAGAACTGACATACCCCCCCCAAAAAATTTAGCATATATCATTCAGAACCTTTCCTTCTATATATATATGCAAACTATATTTTTACACAAAGCAAAATACGGTATGTAAATTTTACAATCTGCTTTTCACTTAGCAATATACACTGGTATCTTTCCATTTGAATTTACATGGATTTACCTCATTTAAAGGCTCCATCTTACAGATGAAAAAAACTTATCACGGCCTCTCTACAGAGCCCGATCCCCTCCTCTCCGCAGCGCACGCCGGCCCGGTGCGCGCGGTGGGGCGCGGCCCTGAGGCTGGGCCGGGAGCCGGGGCCTCACACAGACGCGCCGGTAAGTCAGAGGTGAAGGCTGCTGCCTGACCTGCCTCTCCACTCAGTATCTGACCGTCAGCAGTATCTCCTTTTATCCTATAATCACATGGATCGGCATTTTTCTCAAGTTTCAAAATTCCTGTGATTAAAGAATTTGGGGGGAAAAACACCGCATGAGTGTTTCTACTGGGTTGTTCCATGTCAGGCTCTGACTTCCTCCAGCGACACCGCTTGGGCACTGAACTAGAACCCGCATCCAACAGAACAGCACGAGAGGACAGATCACTTTTATCTTAAGCAATACATAGAGTTAACATTGTCCAATTTAATACACAGCTTGTGCCCTGGCTGGGGTGGCTCCGTGGACTGAGCGCCAGCCTGCGAACCGGCAGGTTGCCAGTTTGATTCCCAGTCAGGGCACAGGCCTGGGTTGTACGTCAGGTCCCCAGTAGGGGGCGTGTGAGAGGCAACGATAGATGTGTCTCTCACACATCGGTATTTCTCTTCTTGTCTTTCTCCCTTCCCTTCTCGTAAAAATAAGTATCTTTAAAATACACCTTGCCAGCTAAGAATAAAAGATAGTAGAATGCTTAAATACTTCCAGGTTCCAAGTAGTACTTGCAAACATTTAAGGCATCCACACTCTAAGAAAAGCCCTTTGCCATCACACTAGCCTTTAGCACGGCCTCGGAGACAGGAGGGGACACAGGGACGCCTGCACGTCGAGGTCCTCAGCCTGCTGTACAGACGCCGGGCCCCTGACGGCCGACTGAGCTCACGGCGCCGGGCTGACCTGAGCGCGCGGTTCGTACCTTGTAGAGCGGACGGCGCACGTCGATGGGGCAGTTCTGGATTACTTCATCCACAACATCCGAGATGGATTCCATGAAATCTGGGTTGGCAAACTGCATTTTATACAAACACAAAGAAACATGACACATTTCCTCAATAGGACAAAACAAAAATACTTCTTAAAAAGTAACCAACAAATACCTTTAAACACTGCACATGGGAACAAACAATAGCTCGAATGCCGCCCATGTGACTGTGCTGTGCATGGGCCAGTGACAGCATGTGCCCTCAAGAGAGGAAGGAAAACGACCAAACAGCAACATAAGCAGAGCAGCCCGCGCGGCCAACACAGGGAAACGAGCCGGTAAGAGGCTGCCAAAAGCAAGTGCGTGATGCATGTGATATAATGAGAAACACTGTGAGCACATAATGAGCACATCAGTGGTGACACTAATTTATGAAAAAATTAGCCAGGATAACAAGGAAAAAACAGAGCCAGTGAAAGGTCCTACATGGTGCCTTTAAAATGAAGCGGCATCACAGTCTTGTTGCTGAGGAAACAGCCTTAGCTTCAAGTCCCTAAATTACATAAGCTAAAGGATAACTAATTCCATTACATTTGCAATATGTTTTGAAATCAAGGAAAGCTCTGCGATGCACTGGCGCTGAGGGAGGGAGAGGCAGTGTCCAGCTGCGGGCCAGCTGCTCCCCGGACACGCTCAGGTTCCCGTATCTCCTATCAGTACTACCAAGGGCACGCGCTGACGAGTGGGACACCGAGGGAGTATGGTACCGCACACATTTTGTGCCAATTCCCTGTACAAAACAGTCACATGTACATCTAAAAATAGGCAGCGGTTTGCAACCTACCTATTGAATACAAACTGAATCAAGCAGGAAGATAAACCAAATTATTTTAAAAATGCATTTTATTGAAACCTTAATTACTGCTTCTACAAAAGTACCCGTGGTAATTTGTGACCACCTGCTAAAGTGGTAATAGCTGTGACTGTCACAGAGCGACTCCCAGTGGGAATGCCAGTCCTCGGACGGAAGCTGTACCCACAGTGGCCGGCGGCCGGGACACAGCAGGCAGGTGTCGTGGGTGAAAGGCTGGCACCCAGGGGAAAGGTTACGTAATCCCACTTTACACAGAGGCAACTTGCCCTCGCTCCCTGAGACCAACTCCTTGTCCTATCAGCGTACAACTCATTTCAACTCCATTAGCTTTGTTGCTCCTCAAACTTCCTCCTCACCGCTTGCGGCATCATCAGTCACTAACTATTGACGGATAATTGAGTCCACAGAGAGGCAAAGGGAACCCCCCAATCAAGCAGACAGAGAGATGCCACGAGCACCCCAGCTGGCCTCGCTTAGAGGTGGTCAGCTCGTTCGGGGACAGAGAACTGATCATCACGCACACGAGGTGGCAGTATTGCTCCATACACACTGCACTTCAACCCGCTCCAAAGGCAAGGATCTCACCTCTGGGTGAAAGAAAATTTCAGGTCCCAGGAACCGCTCATAGCCCACGTCTACGACGAACTGCTTCTGGTTGACGGCGTTGATGCCCGTGTACTGCTTGATCCACCTCCGGGGGTCCACGTCGTACTTGGCAAACTCCTTGACTATATCAGGGCAAATGTAACAGTATTTCTCCTGCATGGACACAGAGAGACATCCCTAGGCATTAGCGACTAGCCCAGAGCCGCCTGACTAAAGCCTGTAACCCCAAGCCTTGAACGCGCCCCTAACTCCGGCGTGGACGTGCTGGCCTCTTTGCAGCTCAGATCTTAGTCTCAGCTTTACCACGGCAAATTTGTGGCCATATTACCTGAGATAACGTCTCAAGTTGTCTCCAAAGCATCCTGTCTCCACCTCCTCTTCCTTCATTCCCGTCAGGCCCCCTTAGGGCGCCTGCCCCGGGGACCCCCTGCCGCGGCAGCCTCCTGGTGCCCCCCCCAACCCATCGGCCCGCTGTCGCCCGCTGTGGCCCTGCTGCGCTGTCCGGCCGGCGTGGTCGGCGGCCTCACGGCAGACCTGACCGCACACCGAGGCGCCCGGGATGCACACGTGACAGCACCCACTGCTGCCTGCCCCGGAGCGCGCCCCCGGCTGAGAGGCCCCAGTAACGAAGCAGGTGACACTGCCCGTTACACGGTGGCAGGAGCCACAGAAACAAAGCGAGGCAGGCCAAGCCGGCTGGAGGCTGCCGCCACCGCTGCGCGATAGCGCCCGTGGCTCGCCCTGCGCCCCCGGCCCAGGAGCGCAGCCTCCCCTGTGCCTGGGGGTGCCCGACGGGGGTCCCCGGGTGGGTCGCCTGTCCTCGGAGCGAACCTCAGCAAAGCAGCAGGCGCCTTGGAGCGCCAGCCTCTGGAAGCCAGCCTCCTGTGGGCAGGCGGCGGGTGGGCGCCTCGCCACAATCTCCGTGGAGACGCCACAGCCACGCGCTCGCAGGACAGAGCCCCGCCGGCCTGGCCTCAGGGCCGCAGGGCTGGCCTGCTCCCCGCGCACACGGGGCCCCCTGGTGCTCGCTCACGCACGCTGTCGAAGGACGGCTGAGGTGTCCTCCTGACACGAACTCTGAAGTGTCTTAGCTTCCCTGAACCCATATTCTAATACCACCCTGATATACTGACAGGAGAAAGGCAAGGACAGGGAGAGGGGAAACCTGGGCAAGCATTTAGGTCTAAAAAGAAAGCCTAATGGCACTTCCGTGAGCGTCTCCCGGTTGGAAAGGGCCGCCTCCCCTCAACCCCACGGCAGCTCCAAACCACAGGAGACGCTCACACTCCCGTCCCGACCGCACTTAAATTCCTCGCAAAAACAAAGTCCTCCTCTCCTCGTGTACAAAATAATTATCCTGGCGTGATGAAGCATCTTACATTTTGACTGAAAATAATAATAATGTGTCCTGTTTTTGCAACGTGTGAAGTCCCCGTAAAAGGGACCGTCGTCGTGGCGGGCACGGGGACACGGCTGGACCGCTGAAGCGGACGCGCACGCCGGCACCGGGGCCTCTCCCCGTCCTGCCCCCCGCCCGCCTCAGCGCTGGGGCTGCCTGCAGCTCATCCCGCGTGGAAACGGGGTCAGAAACACAGGGGCTTTGCCAGATGGCCCCGGACCGTCACACTGCTCTGTACTGCGGTTCCCGGGGGACAGCCACGCACAGCGCACCCTGGGAAGGAGCGCGACGCTGGCCGCCGGCCCGGCCGGGCCTCCCAGTGTCGTAGCTCCTGTTCCAGAAACAGACCGTGGCGGCGGAGGTGGGGAGCACGGCAGGGGGCGGGGGACAATTCAGTTGACTGGGGGTTCTGCGGAAGGAGGTCCCGGTCACCTGAGGCGGCACCGCGTGGCGGGGACACCGCGGGTTCCCGGCAGTCGCTAGGTCTTTCACTCCCTTAGGGAACTCGCAGTAACCGGGGCAAGACCCACACTCGCAGGGACGGGGGAGGGGGCGGGGGACGGCAGCAGACACCACCTCTCTCACCCCCAACCAGCCCGATTCCCGTCTGTTTTTACCTTAATGGCTTTTGCGGTCTCCAGCGATTGCTCCGGAGGGATTCCCACCTCCCTCTCCCTTAGCAGCTGTTGAATGAAATACGTAATATCTCTACCTGCGATCGGGATGTGTTTGATGCAGCTTCCAATTACATAGCCTTCTGCCTGGGGGGAGAGGAGGCACAAGAGCGCGTGAGCAACCCCTCAGTGACAAGCCCCCTTCCTGCCCCTCGCTCGCGCACTGACACGTGTCTACTGATCCCCACCCGGCACCTCGAACAGGTCCTCTAAAGTGACAGCATTCGCAGCTGTCAGCATGACCTGATCTCTCTCAAGCGACCGAAATGGCCCTTTCATCAGGAACGTGCCAAAAAAAGCCACAAGGGACAGTTCATCTCCCAAAAGTAACGTCGGTGTCAGAACCATGAACCCCATCTTTTTTTGTTCCTTATGAAGGAAAGAGTTTTACCTATAAACTGCTAAACCAACTATTTAATCTACTTTTATTTAAAAATCAACAATTTCATTACGTTCACAAGACTTCAATTCTAACAACCTGGATTCAAACTCCGGCCCCGCCCTTGTCAGCTGAGTGACGGGGACACGTGCATCCGCCCAGTACTTGTGTCCCCATACAGGGTAAGCGACAGCCCGCAGGGGTTACGATACAGGAGCACGAACTACTGAAAACCCAGCGCCTGCCAGGAGGGGCTCGGTCAGTTCACCTAGAGCCGCACTGCCTGAGACCGGCTCCCTGGGCCGCCTTCCTGAACCGTGAGGCTTGTCTGCCGGTGGCAGGATCGGGGTGCAGCCCACCCCAGCACCCCCGGGGCCGGGCCCAGGGCTCACACGTCCAGCTCACCGAGGCCCATCGCCAGCTTCCTGAGGGTGCGGCTGGCAGGGAGGCTGCGGGCCTGGGCACATGCCCAGTGCACTCTCCAGGGACCGGCGGTCGGAGGGGATCACTCTTACCACGGCGTCAGCAGAGAAGTGACACCGCAGGTCCCACCTAACAGCACTGGCCTCTGCGCCCCAGGCCCACGTAAGGCCCAGGGTGTGGCCAGGAACCGCTGACCTCGTTTCACAGACAGCGCGGCTCTCGTGGTTCCGACCCCGGCTGCCGTCACGGTAAGTTTCAGGGACAAGTTACCACATTCCCCTTCTATTCCGCCTCAGGCACCTAACATCTAAAAGCAAGAGAAGACTAGGCCTTTCCACAGAGTCTGAGTTATTTGTAAAATATTTTAAGAGGGGGATAAAAGATGTGTCCAAATTATTAACATACAAAGATCAACCTAAAGTCATAAGAATATCAGCCAACACAAAGCATTCACAACTATTATGCTCTCTACAAGACCTTTAATATTTCCTAAACTTAATTCAGCCGGAGTTTCGCAAGCAGCAGCTTCATCGCAGCACTCAGTGGTAAAACACCTGCCGGTCCGACAACAGGGAATCACGTAAGTGAGCTATGCTATTCTCACGTGACGGGCCAGTATGCAGTTCATAAATAGTTCTTCACAGAATATGCAACCATGAGAAACACTACTAGGGATAAATCAATACACAAAATACAACTTTAGGATTATATTACACAATTAGAACACAAAACCAGGCCGTTCTGCTTAACATGTGCACACAGTGTGTCTAACAGTTCAGAAGGCTCTGCAACCAAAACTAAACTGCAGTTCTTTAAGTTAGTTGATGGGTCACTTTATTTTCTCCTTTGCTTTTCTCTGTTTTATCCAAATTTTGTGCCACAAATGTAATTTTTTTTTTCCAGGAAAAAACTGAACCATGACACATAACAATTTTAACAACTTCCTCTGTGGGCCTCTACACGGGGTGGACCTTGGTTTCCTTTCTTCTCCTCAGTTGGAACCACGAGAGAGAAGGCAGTGGGTCCACGGCGCCGGGCCGAGGGGACAACCTCGGGGGGACGCAGACACCGGTCCCTCCAGCCGGTGTCGCTCGCCGAGAGGCAGGGACACTAACACGTCTCAGTGCCTCACAACAGGCACCGAGGTCGGAGACGGGCCTGCGGGACCTCGGAGCACGGGGACGCCGCGAGGCCAGTCCCACCGTGTCCCTGGCGGCCCCCGTGAGGCGCCGCCCAGGGCACCCTGGCAGGGCCCAGCCGGCGGGGAGGGGCTGGACTCCTCTCTGCGACCCTCCCCTCCGGGAGCTCTGGCCTCTGAGGAGGCACAGCGTCAGTGAACTGCGTTGTCGCTTCAGCTTCGTGGCGTGAAACGGCGGCGGCCTTCCCAAGGGAAGCAAATGCCCTGCTTAAGGCAGGCCCCTCGAGAGGGGTCACCCCTGCGCGCGCCTCGCGCGAGCCGGCCGCCGGCGCGCTTGGCTGTGACCAGCGGGCGGGGCTGCCTCTGGGAGCCAGGCCTCCCCCGCGCCCCCCTCCCTTCTGACAGTGCCAATCCATTTTCACAGAACCAACCTTAAACGATCCATTTAAAAAGTTTATTGGACCAAAAACAGAAAGAGAAAGCCCAATTAAGGATCACTTCTCCGATTCTCTGAAACCTGGTACTGACTGCGCAGAGCACCCGCAAGTCCGAGCGCACACTCTGTCTTCCTTGGCTCCTAAACAGGTTTCCAAGCCACGAGGGCCACCTCTCGGAAGCGGGAGGCGGGTAAAGCCACCATGTCCTGGCACCGTGTCCAGGAGGAGCGGTCACCCTGCCGGTGGTCGTGCACACGCCGACGCACGAGATGCCTAGGATGGCAGGTCTATCCCTGGAGCTCGGACCCGAGCAGGAGAGCCCTCCCTCCTGGTGACCGTGGCACCCGGGGACAAGGCAGAGCGGGAGGCCCCGCCGACACCCGGCCTCGACGGCAGGAGCCGCCCCTGCAGATTCAGAACCGCCAGGCCTCGGCGGCGCATCCGCGCCCTGCCCACGCGCCTGGCTGAGAGACTCTCCTTTCCTTCTCTACATACAGCTGTGGCTTGTACAGTGGCACTTCAACTACAGAAGAGGTTTCCGCCCTTCACGAGTCCCGCAGAGCGAGGCCCTGGCAGGCCTGCTTACCACTGGGATGGCGTGGGTGACGCCGTCCCCGCTGTCGATGATGATCCCGGTGAGCGTGCGCTCGCCCACCTGCCGCGAGGTCCACGAGGCCGCGAGGGCCAGCACCGCCTGCTCCGGAGACAGGAGACAGGGGCCCGTCAGCGGCGGCCGGGGCTCGGCTCAGCCGGGGCCGCCGCTGCGCATGCTCTCGCGCAGCAAGGTTCCTCCCACCGAGAACGCCTGAGCAGCTCCCTCCCCATCCTCCTCCGCCCCCCCGCCCCGTGCCCCCCCCACACTGGCCCGGCGGCATGCAAATTTTGTACGCTTAAACCGGAGGACTCTTCATAAAATACATCAAGCTTTTACAAAGAGAAGCCAGGGAGACAGGGATTTGTAGTATGGAATCGGGAGCTGGTGTTTCTAATCCCCCGGTTCCCAGGGGGGCCCCCGGACGGGCGGCAGGAAGGCCGCCCGTGGCGTTTGTGGGAGACAGGTCCCCAGCCCCACCCCAGAAACTCCACGCTGGAGAGTAATGGGGGGAATGGGGACAACTGTAACTGAACAATTTTAAAATAATAATTAAAAATAAAAGACACTCCACTCTGGTGGGACTCGAACACGGGCTCTCAACCAGGGCCACACTGCTCTCAGGGGACACTGGGAACGGCCTGGTGCCCATTTCTGTCACACCTGGTGGGGAGGAGGCTGGTGGTGGTGCTTCTAGTGAGTCAAGGCCAGAGATGTTGCTAAATGCCCTCCAATGCACAGGAAGCCCTGCCCCAAAGAACTGCCCGCCCCAAGGCGCTGAGGTCGGAAAACCTCGGGCTGAGGTGAATGGGCTGCGTGTGAGTGTGTGGTTCGGGGGGCGGTTGTGTGTATATGTGTGAGTGTGACTGTGTGCACGTAAGTGCATGCATGTGCATGTGTACATGTGTACATGTGTGTGAGAAAAAGTTGCGAGAGTGTGAGTGTGCACCTGCAAGAGTGTCTGTGTGTGTGTGTGAGTGTGAGCTGAGGCAGTGGAGAAGGGAAGAGCGCGCAGCACCAGCTTGCAACACGGAGCCTTGGGGATCAGCATGGGGTCCACTATTAGCCAGCTACGAGCCTGTGGGAATCAGAAACATAACGTGGCTTTTACCTGGACGGCAATGTAGAGTCCTGGTACGTTAAAAGATTCAAACATAATTTCTGCAAGATATTCTCGGTTTTCTGGTGTATTCAGTGGAGGTTCTGTCTGTAAGAAAACAATCACTATATTTAGTATTCACTCAGGTTTCATGTAATTACATCAGAACCGTACAGTCCACCTAGAAGCATGTTAATTAGGACGCTGGGCAGAGAGCAGACGAGAGTGACTCGTTAAAGAAAGCTGGCCGTACAAGCTGTCAGGTGGCAGGGTGGGGACTCTCCGGATGCTGCCGCGCTCGGCGGCCACCCGCACTGGGGGCAAGTCACAGCGAAGAAAGCTCCACCTTTGGTGACGCAGCACCTGAACACCCCGAAACGGGACAGACCCTGCACGCTGCCAGTAATACCCCCACCCAGACACGGGCGGGCGCCAAGGGGCCCCCAGTGACCTCAGGGAGCAGGAGGTCGGGCGAGTCCTCCAAGGGGCAGAGGCAGAGGCAGAGGCAGAAGCAGCCCTTGCCAGGGGCAGGAAGGTCAGTTCGGGCAGACCGGCGGCAGTGCGCAGGGGCAGGGCCGGACGGACGTCCTGGCCACCGGCCTCAAGGCAGGAGAGTGCGGAGCAGACGTGGCTTCACCCAGACAGCGCCCACCCCCGCCCCGCCCCCGCCCCTCCTGGAGCCGCGCACACAGGGGGTCAGAGAAGAGCTCCCCTCGTTCAAGGATGAGGAAAGAACCCACAGAAACTAGCCAGAGACCGTATTAAAAAACTGACGAAAAAGAGAGGGAAGAGAGAAAAGCCACAGGAAAAACAAAGGGCAGGAGGAGGACCCCTACCCAGAGAAATATAAAAACAAAGCAGATAAAATCACAGCCGAAGACCTTTCACAAAATTCCCGTAACCTATCGTAAAGCCAGAGCCACCATCGAATAGGAGGAAGCGACAGGATTCCAGGAAGATAAAACGAGTAAATAAACCTGCTCTCGGTCATTCGGCAGCGCGCTGTGAATTTTTCCATGTCAGTAAGTATGGACACACACCACAGACTTAATGCTGCAAAAGAAAAGAAAAAGAATAAAAATTCTGAGGGCCTTTTGGGTTAAAAAAAAAAAGCCTACATACCCTCTGCCATGGACTGACCTGTGTCCCCCAAAATTCATGCTGAACTCCCACACCTGAGCAGGGCTGTGTTTGGAGCTGGGGTCTATAGGGAAGTAACAAGGCCAAGCGAGGTCACGGTGCGGGGCCCAATCCAACAGGACCCATGTCCTCCTTAGGGAAGAAGAGCCACCTGAGCGCTCTGGCCTGCGCTAGCAGAGGAAGGGCCACGCGACTACGCGCCGGAGAGAAGGCGCCGGAGAGAAGGCGCCGTCCGCACGCAAGCCCGCAGGACCGGCCTCCCGGTGCCCGCCCTGCCTGCGCCCTGCACGCCCCGACCGACCGTGGGCCTAACGCCTGCAGAGCTGCCGGGCGTTGAGAAGACGGGTCTGCTGTCACAGCCCCCGCCCCCCTCGGCGGGTGGTAGCGCGTGGCTGCAGCCTGAGCGCCGCCTGAGTCGCCCTCGGAGCAGAGAGGGGGCCGCCCTCACCGTCAGCGCCCCCCACAGCGGGGAGGCAGGCCCGCACTCCCGCCCGGCCGCCCGGCCGCCCCGTGTGGGGCGGGGACGAGCCCCTTCCACTGCCGCGAGCCCGCAGGGGCCGCTACGCCCGCGGGACTCCGCCGGCAGAAGGTGAACGGCAGCCACACACGCAGGCAGGAAGCACAGCCGAAGGCGCGCAGGGAGCCTCGGATGTGGGAGGCCGGCTTTTCTTCCCTGGGAATCAGTTATAGAACAGCATGCAAATGTCAGATTAAAACAGCAGAAATGTTACCAAGTGAGGGATGTAGACAGAGAGGAGGGCACATAAAGGCACTGATATCCTCTCATGAGGGAATCTAAAGATAAAGTATCAGAGGTGTTATACACAGAAAGCTCTCAATGTTGCTGGTAGACTAAGTTCAGTAGCAAAGTCGATCACAAGCAGGTGGCAGAGGCGAGGGAGAGGAGGGACGGAAATGGGGGAATGTGCCCACACGGCCACGCATCACAGCAGGAAGTAATCACCCTAAACAAATGCAGGGTGAATGTGTAACACGAAATTAAACAAAAGCGGGGTAAACTTATTAGAACACACACCCGATGCAAAGCAAAGCGAAAACCAAGCCCGAGTGTTTGGGAGGTGATTCCCTCTCCAGTCACAGAGAGCGCCCACCTCCCCGAGCTGCAAAGAGGAAAGGAGGCCAGGGCTCAGAGCAGCACCCGGCTCAGGAGGGAGCTCAGTGAAAGCGGGTTATTGGTGCTAAAATCATCAGCAAACACCAGTGAGAAACTTGCCGCGAGACAGCTGCAGGCAAGAGACCACCGGAACAGGGTGCCTCAGAGCGGTCTAGGTCCGCGTTTCGGATACGTACGACAGCGCAAGATCAGAAATGACCTAAGAGCCCGTCATTGAGGAACCGGTTAAATAAAGTATGCCTGGCCCATAAAATGTAATACGTTGCGGCAATTAAAAACGGTGCGCTCCACATATGCTGATATGAGAGTCTCTATGATAAGCTGTTAAATAAGAGAAAGGTGTCTCTATATTGCAAACATTCTTAAATACTTTGTATTGACCATGTTTAATAAAAACTTTGTTTAAAATACAAGATGCAGGGGAGGGGGAAGTGGGGCACTGTTCAGTAAGTATACAGTCTCCGTGTTACAAGATGGAAAAGCTGGAGCCATCTCTTACACAGCAATGTGAGTACAGTTAACACCACTGAACCTCAAAGTGGTCAGGAAGGCAAATCTGTGATGCTTTTATCATGACTTTCTAATTATTTTAAATGAAAAGTCAAGGTGTTCCACGGTCTGTATACTTTGTTACCATTTGTGAAGAACAAAAGTTTATGTGCAGCCCACACGCCGGCACACAGTCACCTGTGCGGAGGCAAACCCCGGACTGCCGCAGCGCTGGCAGCGGGCTGGGGAGAGGCCCCGTGAGCAGGGCAGGGGCAGGCAGGCGGGCAGGCATGCCCTCCGCGGCGCACCGGCGGCTCCGCGGCCGCACCACCGGCCCCCACGACGAAAGAAAGGCCGGGCCAGCCTGAGCGACAGAGCCCCCCGTGGACTGGCCACCCAGAGGGGAGCCTCGCAGCGCAGCACGTAACAGGGCCCTGGCCTGCCAGCTGCCCAGGGCCGGCGGCGGGGCCGCGCAGGAGGAACGGGCCGGAGCTGAGAGCACAGACCGGCTCTCATTTCGCTGCGGTGGGCCCGGCGGGACGGCACGTGCCGCACAGTGCAGCGCCCGCCCCGGATCCATTCCCCCTTCGGCCTCCCTGGCCCACGGGGCGGAACCAGCACGGGAGGAGAGACAGGCCTGGAGGGAAGCCCACGCGGAGCGCCCTGTGGACAGGGGTGGCTGACAGGCAACGTTCTGGCCGGTAAGAGGCAAAAGCTGACGGAGGCGGCCTCTGCAACAGCGCCCCACCCACCAGGCTGGGGGCCGCAGGCTCCCAATGCACGCACCGCCGCCTTCTCCTGGACCAGCGGAGCCAGCGCAGCGGCCGCGGCCCGCTCGCGTCCCCAGGGGGGCGCCCCACAGTAATCCCCGGGCCACCGGGGTCCTTTGCGAGGCCGGGCAGCGGCCGCCCAGCACTGCCTCCCGGCGCCCGGGCTGGCGGCGAAGTCCCCGACGCTTCTCCCGGGACACGGCTCTGGGAGCTGTTGGTTCATTCAGAACCGTTTTTGTTAGAGGGCATTGTGAAAGCTGTCCTATCAGCGTGATGTGATTTTTTTCTTAAAAACTCATCAAAATTGGTGAATTTGGGGGCAGCCATTTTAATACTGAAAATGGAAGAAAACACGCATTTTTGGTGTGTTATGCTTTATTATTTCAAGAAAGGTGAAAAACGCAACTGAAACGCAAAAAATAAAAAGACTTGTGCAGTGTATGGAGAAGGTGCTGTGACTGATCAAAAATGTCAAGCGGTTTGCAAAGTTTCTTGTACTATTGACATTTCGGCCAAAAAATTCTTTGCCGTCTCAGGCCCTGGAAGATGTCGAGCGGCAGCCCTGGCCTCTGCCCGCTCGAAGCCAACGGTGGGAGACGGCCGGCACCCTCGAAATACCCGACCCAATGAAGTTATTGGTGGGAAAGAAGAATGTGTCTTTTACTTTATGGGGAAAAAAACCATGAAGGCCTTGTGGCCAACCCAATACAAACTTAACAATAAAACCCCTAACTGGTTTAAACGACTGTTTTTTTTAATACTTCTATTACTTGCTACCAAACAATTCACCACCTGTGAAGGATTTACATTAAAATCCATATACTTCCACTTAAGGAATGTTTACAATATAATTAGGTTCCCCTGGTTCCTGAATCAAACTCAGCTTATTAAGGGCATATCCTCATGGGTTCTGCGAACCGTAATCATAAATCCATTTCTCCCTCAATCCTCCGTTTCTTCTACATTTACTACCAGTAATTGTTCCTTTAGGAGACCAATTTAAATAAAACTTTCCCAAACCATTATTTATAACAAGCTCTAAATTGGAGGTATCACGTTCTCATTTTTTAATACTCAGACATATTAAAACATCACATGAACGCAAACTACATCAACGTTTTTATTCATAACAATGGTAAAATATCATCTGGTATTGATTCCAAAATGAATAACTAGTCATGACCATAAAACCAATCCGTATTTCTGGATGAGGACAGCAAACTGCACGCGTTTACCTCATACCGCCCCGCCCCACCCCCTCTAGAACTGCGGCAAAGCAACTTTATTAAAACACCTCAATCCTCGAGGAGGAGAAGCTGGGCAGGGATGGGGGTCGGGGAGGACAACACACTGGCAGCGGGCAGCACGCGGCCACCGGTAACTAACCGAGCAGGCCCAGGAAGCCGTGGCTGGCAGCACCAGACGGGGGGCGTCTCTGGACTCCTCGAGCCCCGGGAGGGACTACGGCTGGACACCAGGACGTGCCACGTGGGAAGGCGCATCTACCCTCAGCCTAACGGCCGCGGGTGCCCGCAGAGCCGGGTGCGTCGGGGAGGCGGTTCGGGAGAGGGCGCGGGTCAGCAGACCGGGGAAGGAGGTGCCCCTGCCGGCGGGGCGGCGTCACTCGTAACCCCCCACGGACCGGGCCGGGACAAGAGGATGAAGGAAGGGCTGTATCCTCTCTCTCTCTTTGCTCTTTCTTACTTGACTCATAGTCAGTTTCCAAATCTCTCCTGAAGGTACAACTCACTTTCTACCCCTCAGCATTGCTACCCTCTGAAATATGGGATTCTGCTTTGAACTCTGGGCACTTCGGTATCGGAGAAGTGATTCTCAAGCGCCCTCTGCTCAGTCCACGCGGCCAACATGAGCTGAGCCCCTGGAACTTCATGAAAGCAGGGGCCGTAAGGAGCGCCCTGTTGGCCGGGATGCGTGGTCAGAGTGGCCAGAAAGAACCACCACGTGAGCTACGGAGGGACGTAGCTCTTACTTGGACTCCTGTATGCCAAGATGTCCTTATCCGGCGCAGCGGTTCGGTGAATGCTGTCGACGCACTCTGACGCCTTGGCCAGGGACCCCTGCGCCTGCCCGCCCCTCTGCCCCTGCCCCTGCCCCTCGAGCGGATGAGCAAGGGCGTGACCCCGGGGAGAGGCACTGTCATCTCCGCCTCGACCACTTGCAGAGCTCCACCCAGCATGGGGGGGGGGCTGGGGTGGAGGGGCAGGGCAAGGAGGAAGGCGGACTCGTGGGCGCGGACCGCAGTGCGGCGATGGGGGGCAGTATAAGGGCGATAAATGGCGATGGAAAAAACACGATTAAAAAAATTTTTAAAAATAGAGTGTGGATCAGAATACAGTAATACAGTGTCTATAATACAGTATTTTCTGATCTTTAATAAACTTGACTATTTTGGAACATTCACTGCAGGTCTTCATTTTCGGCACATGGACCCGAGCTTTTCCACATCCACACCAAACACTCCCCACCCTCTCCTGGCAGCTGGCTGACCTCTCCAGCCTACACGCGCGAGCTGGATCAGAAAGAACAAAATTAGGAGACATTTCCTGCGGGCTGTGTCCTGGCAGGGCGTGCGGTCCCCCCCGGGGCACAGCGACCAGGGCAGGCAGGGGAACAGCTGGGCACGGCACCAGCTCCTACACTGTCCCCCCAGGCGGGAAGTCCCGTGACATGCCAGGGAAGGAAAAGTGCCCACGGGACAGGTGGGAAGCCGTAGTTTTTTTTTGGCCACACAGACAGGGCCGCCTGGGCACCCGGGCAGCTTCCCAGCCCGTTCACTGTGCGAGAGCCGCCAGGAGGCAGCGGAGGGAGGGCCGCAGTGCCCGTGCCTGCCGACGGCGGTGCGGACGCTCCCGGAGGGAAGAGCAGAAGAGCAGAGCCCGGCCGAGGGCTCGCTGTAGCCGGTACTAAGGGGACAGACTCCTCCACCACCACCACAGCCGTGGAGTTGGCACATTTGAGGGCAGAGGGCCCTGAAGAGCACTCTGCGCCCCCACTGGAAAGCGCTACATGCCGGGCCCGGCGGACCCGCTCATCCGCAGCGCGCCTGCGGGGAGATGTCCACAGCGACAGCGGGCGGCGTCAGCAGGCCACGCAGGGCGCGTGCAGTTGCTCCCCATAAAGCATGCATTTCGTAGACATACTTAATTTTAACCTACAAAGAGAACTCCATGGAAGAAAATGCATAATATTGAGTATTACACTTAGGACAGCATCCCCACCACGACCACGAGAGAACTCTTCCCATTTCTCTGCAGGGCTCGGTTTTGTTTGAACAAGATTAAGTGATGTAAGCAGGGCCCTCACCCAGCTCGACTTCACCTTACAGTAAACTTTAAACCCCGGCGAAAGAGCGCCTTGCCTCGGTTTCCTCTGCTCTCAGATGCAGAAGTCGCAGCCACGCAGTTGCACCCCCGACTGCGGAAGTGCGCGGCCCTCCCCCGGCCCCCCGTGCCTCCCGGCTCCACCCCCCTGGCTGCGGGAGGCCCGCGGAGGCCCCGTCCCCGGGCCAGGTGACGCGAGAGGCCCCTCACAGCCCAGGGAGAGGTCCTGATGGCTCTGACCCCATCAGGGCGATTCCGCTCCCCCACTGGTGACCGGGTTAAGCGTGGCTGACGGCCAGCCTGCTGGGAAGGTTTCTAGGAAGCTTAAAGGCGCACGTGCCCGCGAGGCGACAGAGAGACCCGGGCCTGCGGGGAGCCAACCAGGAAGCTGCGCGCGCACGCGCACACATGTCTGCTCCTCGCTCGTCACTGCGGGAGCCCACGCGGGGACCACCCGACTCTCACCCTGTGTGACTGTGTGATGACGTAACGAGCCCTTTTCGGCTTAACAGGTTTTTTGTTGAGCCTTCTGTTATTTGCCCCAAAAAGCAGCCCAATTCACACCAGTCATTTCAGCTGAAATCAAAGACTCCCCACAGAAGAACATCCTGGGTCTACACTCTGAGCACTTTGGGACTTACAGAGATATATCCTCCTCAGCTCCAGTTACTCACCATTAAGAAGTAATGATCCTCAGGCTCGGCTCGAAGGTACTTAAAAATCACTTGTTCCATGAACCTTTCCATCAGGTCCCAGTCTTCAATTATCCCGTGTCTTATCGGCCACTAACGCGAGAGAAACCAAGCGCGTCAGGCGTCGGTTCACACCAGGGGCGCCTCCCTCCACGGCAGGGCCCAAGGGACCGAGTCTTTGCAGAGTTAAGGTCTCCCTGGCACGACGTGAATGGCATTCGCGTGGAGAAACAAGAGGCACTTTTACAGAAAGGCTGTTATGTAGTTGTTCACACGGTAACGCAGGGACCCCCAACCCCTGGGCTGCAGACGGGTACAGGTCCGCAGCCTGCTGGGGACCTGGCCTGGAGGGACGCTCACGTGAGCTCCGCCTCCTGCCCTCCCCCCCACGCCCATCCCCGTCCGCGGAAGAACCAGTCCCTGGTGCCAAAAAGCTTGGGGGCCGCCGCTCTGACGCCACCCACAAAGAATGTGTTAACAGTGGAGAAACAGGCGCCCGTGCGGCTAACCTACCGCACCGTCGGTCGGGGTTTGTTTTCTTTCTTAGAACAAACGTCTCCTCAAACAATTTTAGTGCCTCCCTTGAATGAATCAGTCTGCCACTTTCCATTTCTGACAGTTAATTAGTCAACCTGGGACCCCCGTGGCGGCACCGCTGCCTGCGTGTGGGGCCCCGCGACCCGGGGTGCAGGCTGCATCCCGGGGCCTTGGAAATCCACTCGCTTCCCCACGTCAAACAGCAACGACCAAACCTCCCTTCAAACCTAAGGATAAAAGCGCATTCCACTCCCGAGTGCAACTTCTACACGGTCTACGTTCTGCGCGGCCCGCCCTGCCGCCTCCTCCTGGCTCACCGCCAGCCGCGCGCCGGGCTCACCTTCGTGGCGTACGTGGGTTTGTCTATCGCTTCATCCCCGATGAAGAAGTCCAGGTCGTCCACCCCCCTCAGCACTTTCCTCTGCGCTTGGTCCACCACCTTCGCCGACTCTCTGATGGCAATGCCTTAAAAAAAAAAAAAAAAAGCACAAAGGTTTCCGTCATTATCCACGTTTATCTAAAAGATTAAGAAAGGACAACGTAATCCCTGCGTATGTGCAAGTAAATTTTCAATGTCAGGGATTTACAGGGGGTCAAGGGTGGTCACAGAGAAGACGCTAGAGCGTAAGACACAGACGCCAGCTGCTGTGACCTGGCGCTATTCTCCGCGGGGCACAGGGAGCCGGCTGCTCTGCTTTCATCCCGACAGGAGAAGCTACGCTACTACACTTACAGTTCAACTTAAAAAGAAAAAATTCCACATGATAGTTAAATGTTCCTGAAGTGTCTATCAATAGGTTCCAAATTTCAAAACACAATAGAGAAGAAGACAAAATTATACGTACAATACAGAGGAGAAATAACTGAAAAATAATGCCCATATGCTCTTACTAAAGAGGATTTTACTAAATGCTCTTTACTAAAACTCTGCAGCAGATAAATTTAAAGTATACCTTTAGCTTTGTTACAAAAGAGAGAGAACTGACTTCCCACTGAAAGGAAAAACGAGAAGGTTGCTGGCTGGTACCTGCCACAAAAAGGGAGTCTGCCCGCCCCTCCTCCGCCACATTGGAGAGGGGACACAAAGCCATGGACAGAAGTCCTGTGGGGCTGGCGCAGTGGCCTGGCGGGCACGGGCCAGGGCCCGTGGGAAGCGGGGAGCGGCCTGGGGCCGGGGCCAGAGCACGAAGGGCAGGGACGCCCGCTGGGCCCTGCCTCGCTGAGGCCACCTGTGGAAATAAACACAGGCCACCCCACGGGACTGCCAGCACCGCACAGGGTCATCGGGGGCCCAGGGTCGGTGTCCGAAAGGGCCCAGGCAGGGGTCTGGCCCAGCCCTCGGAAGTCCGCGCACAGCAGCCCTCGGCACGAGGGATGGATCCCGTCCTCGGCACACGATCAGACTCGCTCGCACACGAGCTGAGCACTAAACTGCCAAGTCAACAAACAACTGCAAAGAGACAGAGGCAAAAAGATGCCTCAACTCACAACAGCATTCATGAAAAACTGCCACCTTGGAGAAAAGATGCTACACTTAGAAAAAACTACCACGCTCAAAAATTCCCGTGACGACACAGTAAATCTTACCCCTCCTGAAAAGGCAGGTGGAAGCGCTGTGACCCCAAGTCACAGCAGACCTGGGTTTCGCGGTCCTTACAAGTAACAGCAGCAGCAAACCTAAAATATACTTCTTTTGACTCTTATACAGGGAGCAACTGAATCCATGGAAAAGGATAAAGAATAAAGGCACACAGAGCATCTATTTGAGCCTCGGTGCAGCCTCATGAAAAGCGGACGTGGCCCAAACAGGCCCCGCGAACACGACGGGACTCGCGTCCGGGAGCAGCGCCGGCGGGCTCCGCGAGCGCTCGCAGCAGAGGGGGCCTGCCGTGGAGCGACGGCCCTTGGCACCCCGCGGCGGTCTCCAGCACACCGCGCAGGCCACCAAGAAGGCGAGGGGCACACGGGGACACGGGGAGGACAGCAAACGCAGCCGACGGTGGAAGCAGCGCGCCCGTCCCAGCGGGCGGCCTCGGCGGCCGCTCTCCAGGCACCGGCCCAGGAGGCTCTGAGCTGAGGATGCAGGAGGGGCACAGGGACGCGCGTGCGGGCTGCGCCAGCGCCGGTGGAGGCACGTCTGCGTGTGCTGGCTGCATGTGCAGCCAGTGTCACAGGACGGATCCACAAGAAACTGGATGCCGTAGCTACCACCTAAGGGGGAGCTACTCTGGCAGTTCCGCAAGAAGACTCAGCATACCGCTGCCACCCACGTGAGTGACTGCGCTCCACAGTGTTTACCAGGAAACTGAAAACTCACGGCCACGGGGAAACCTGTTCACACGGGTTCACAGCGACTGCGGCTGTGGGCGCGGAGGGCTGGCACAACCAAGGTGCCCTCTGCAGGTGAGCGTCTGGACCACCTGCGGCACAGCCCGCCCTGGAGGACGGCTCCACGACACGGGGCAAAGTTAACCGACTGGGACTGGGACGGATCTCTAGCGCGCGATGCCACGTGAAGAGCCCACCGGGAAAGGCCACCTACCACATCTGTCACATTATCACAGCAACAAACTCGGGGAGGCGGACACAGACAAACAGCGGTCCGAGGTCGGGAACAGTGGGAGGACTGAGCGTCGCGGTGAAGACGCGCACCGTGGTGGCGAGTCGCCCTGCGCCCGGCGCGGAGGCGGTGAGGGAGCCTACACAGCGGTGGGACGGCAGGGAGCGGCGCCCTGCGCCACGCCGCCACCCCGCGCCACGCCACGCCGCCACCCCGCCCCACGCTGCGCCACGCCGCCGCCCCACGCCGCGCCACGCCGCCCCGCCGCCGCCCCGCTCTGATGCCACTGCTCTAAGAAACTGCGTAAAATGGAACAGCTGCCTGGGGACCTACCATCATCCCAAAGCAGACTACTGTAAAGACAAAGAAAATGCAGTGTGCAAACGATTTAAACAAATCCAAAAATAAACACCTCAGCTGGCTGTGATGATGCATCAACACTAACAAGATTAAACTTAATGAAGGAAAATGCAAACATTCTGAAGAGTTTTAAAAATCGTATGGGCATAAAATGTGAGTGTAGCCAAGAGAAAGGCTATTTCCCGAAGGCCAAAAAGCCGTCAGAGGGCAAATCTAAGACGACTACCAGAGAGAGCACATCCGAGGAAGAGCCACCCTGGAGATGTCAACAGAACGTCTGTGTCTTTAAGACGCTTACTACCACCGTGACAGACAACACCAATATTTAAAATAAAAATATCCAATGTATTTCCAAAGACTGTTAAACATTTCACTAACCCTTCAAGATAAATAATTCCTAACTTGTATATAAAGGGTTCCAGCTAACAGGAAAAGAAAACACACCCATTTGAGAAAGCCAGTAAAACTGTGATATACAAAACAGACCAAAAAAAAAAAACCAAGTGTAAGAATGGAAAATGATAGACCAACCTCACTTTTGAGTGAGGACACCAAGGCAAAAATAAATATTTACAAATAAACTCCCAGATTCCCCAATAAATATCTGCAAACACAATTCAGCAGGTACTACTTGCTTTCATAACCCCGTAGGGTTTCTCTCAAAAATGAAATAAATGGCCGTTCCATATTTGAAAACAGAGGAATGGAATTCCTCACATGAGGAGCTTAAATGTGCAAAACCACATGATCATCTCAGCAGAGGCACAAAATGTCTTACCTGGCAACACCCACTCACAATTTAATAAAAGACAAAAACGAAGCGCTCGGTAAATGCGGCGCACAAGGACACGGCATTCTCTCCACCCGGGGAGGCCTCTCCACAGACGCCTACGGGAGTCGCCACTGCCAGGGGACACCTGCGACCTCCAGCTCCGGTCGCTGTGGACAGCGTCCCAGCCGGTGCACCAAGGCCAGGAAAAAACATGACACTGGGACTGGGGGAGACGGAACCACTGCGATTGCCAGTCGACCCACTGTTCCGCCGAGGCGACGGCAGACCTGCAGGCGGTCAGAACCAGCCAGACGGGTCAGCGAGGCTGCTGGGTCCAGAAACACCTAAACATCCCAGCCACGTCCCTCCTACATGCTGGCAATAACCAGCTCCAAGTTTTAATGCTAAAAAAGGTCGTAACAGCAACACAAACATCAAGGTATCTAAAGAAAAAATCTAGCAGAAGGTATGTGTGAGCTTTTGAAGAGCATTAGAAAATATTAATGGTAAACATGAGAGACATGAATAAACAATGAGACATAGACTACCTTCATGAATAAGAAAATTCGATTCATAAAGATGTCAAATTTTCCCCAAAATAGTCTACAAATTGAACGTGTCTCTAATCAAAACCCACTTATCATGTTTCACAGACTTTAAACTGCTTCTGGAATTTATAATAAGGAGCGAGGGCTTAAGAACAGCTACAGCCATCCAGAGGAAAGGAAAAAGCAAGGCGGACAGGACCCGCCAGACCCAAAATACATGCTCAAGAGGAACATCTAAGCTCGGGCGAACATGGAGCAGAGGAGAAACAAATGCATCAGTGAAACCAAATAAAAACACCAGCGTGTTCCCAGGCACACAGGGCACCTCAATAGGAGGGGACGGGCATGTCAAACTGGAATGTGCTCGTCAATGAGGGACAAGTAAAGTAGCCTTCCATTTGGAAAGCAAATGATATTAACTCTCTCACACCATACTTAAAAAAAAAAAACTTAAAATTTTCTTAAAAGAAATATAGAACATCTTTTTTTACTTTGGAGCAGGAACGCATTTTTAAAAACAGAACAATTTATAAAGGAAGACTGATAAATTTGACTATATCAAAACCTTTAAACTTCCAAATAAAAAGAAATTATTTTTAAAAGACGTCTTCGAAGATAATGCAGCAGGTTAGTAGAGAAAGTATACAAAGTGTTCACATAACTCCATAAAAGAGACAAAAACAGTGCAATAAAAAAATGTTCAAAGATACTTTTTCATTCTGCGTGCTGGGTGCATGGGTCTTTGTTACAGTATCTTTTGCTTTGTGGGGGGGGGGCAGTAAGTAAAGATCTATTTAATTTTTAAAAAAGAAACCCGTCTCTGTGCCCAGGCTTCCCCAGCGCAGCAGGCCTCCTCATTCGCCCGCTGAACCTCATGCGTGAGCTTCCCGAACTCCAAATGTCTAAAGGGCACGTTCCCCAACCCCCTCCCCCTGTCCCCCAACACATAGAATCCTCTTCTGAAACTTTTCGGTGACTCCCAATATTCTCCACAACCTCACATTTAAAAAAAAAAAAGGGCAAGGAAACCCTGTCTTCAAACAATCAAGCAAATTCTGCACAGTCTGCAGACAGACCTGCAGCAGACACGTCAGACCAAGCAGAACTGCCCTGCTCCAGGGGACCAGTCCCAGCAGCAGCCTCAGAAAGGAACCACTGGAAAAGCCCAGGAATGCAGGCGAAAATTCCTTAGGAGGGCAGTTCAGAGTCCTTATCATCTGGCCCCTCTCCGTTTCCACGTCTGCCAGGTCTTCCGGAACCAGAGAGCGCTGCTGCCCCCCAACACATGCGGGGGGCCTGGCCTGTGTGCCCACCAGCATCAGAAAGCCTGGTCCCCGCCACGGGCACACCCCCCACCAGCTCCACCCGCCCCTCCGGATGCCACTTCGGCTCATGCGCCTCGTCCTTCGCTTACGAACACAAGAATGTTCCACCGCAGCTCTAACACAGCAGCGGGCCACGCGCCCAGGTGACCACGGCCGCCCCCGGCCCCACACACCAGCCTGCCTCCTGCGCGCTCTCTCCCTGGCTACAGGTCACCAACAGCAGGCGTAGCTCTTCGCTTACTCCCACCTCCTGGACCCTTTAGTACCGCCGCAGCTTCGGCCACCGCAGCTCCGGTCTGGGAGGGCCCTGCCTTCTGACGGTGAACACAACGCCGTGGGTGCTACCAGGTGAAAGGGCTCCCAACGACGGCAGGGCTGGGCGCCGGGCGGTTTTAACGCCGGCGCCTGAAGCGCAGGGCAGGGTCGGCCTCGCAGAGCGGCGCTGCGCTCACCAAGGTGAAAGCCCCACCTGCTCTGAGGAGCCAGGAAGCCCGGTTCGTCCTTTCCGCCTGCGACGGTCAAGTTCCAGGCATTCCCGACGAAGAGGTTCGCAAAAGACTCATCCGCCCTGCAGATGCCAGCTGCCAGGGCCTGCAGTGTCCCCTCCCACGTCACGCGCTGAAGCCCCACCCCCCGTGGGACGTGCTGGGAGATAAGGCCTGTGCGGAGATAAACGCGGTGACAAGGGGTCCTGGCCGCAGGGCCCTAATCCGAGACAGCCGGTGTCCCCACAGGAAGAGGAGGAGACCCGGAGCTCCGTCTCGGCCGCGGACAGAGAGCAGGCCACGTGAGGACGCAGGGGAGGGCGCCGTGGGCAGGCGAGGAGCAGCCCCCGGGGCCAACCCTGCCGGCTCCAAACGTGGCCTGCGAGCCCCCATCCTGGGGCACCAACTAACGCACCCAGTTATCGGCCGAAACAAGGGCACCGCAGACCCGTCAGGCCTGCTGGCGAGGACAGCCCACCACGGGCCCAGGGCTGGGACCTGGAAAGCCAGACTCACAGTTGGCCAGCGGCCGGCAGGCCAGGGCCCGGCACTCAGGGCTCCACGTTCCCACGGAGCCGGGCGCGCTCTTCCCTGCGACCTGGGTGCCCAGCTCCGCCCCAAAGCCTCCGGCTTCCCGGGATTCACACTAGCCTCGCCCCGGCGCCCGGGGGCCTACCCGCCCGTCCCGCACTGGCCAGGGGCCTGCCATCCCGTCACTGGCCCCGTAACAGCGTACGGTTTCTAAGACCACAGCTCGGCGCACTGGAGCCACGCACGGGGGGCACAGTTTCATTTCACCCTCTGATGTGCCTTCCTCTTTGGCGAACTGTCTCCACATACTAGCCTAGAGCTGAAACAGTTTCCGAGAAGGGCCCTCCCTCCCAGCCCCCGCCCCGCCCCCGGAGCTGCTGCGGGAAGAGCAAGGCGTGGGCGCCCTCCTGCCAGAAACGCAGAGCATTTCTTCATTCATCGGCTGATCGCTCTCTGCGGACTAAACCGTACACGACAACACGACACTTCTGAACACAGTCAAGCAGTCATCAAGACTCTTGTATTCTTAAAAGAAAGCCTTTCATTAGAGTGAATAGTAAGTACAATGGATATTCAGTCCACAAAGCTGCTCGTTAATAAAACTGTACTGACTTAGAAATTACCAATTAACCTTTAGGAGACACATACACTCCTTCTAAATAATCCAGACGTTTGTGATTGAATGCCAGGCCCGTGCCAGCCACCCTGGCGGAAACGCCAAAGACAGTGACCAAGGGCTATCAGAAAGGGGGGGGGGTAGTTTCTAGGTCACAACTGCAGCCCAGAACAATATTCGGGAACGAGGTGTCAAAATCAACAACCCTCCTCGGAACAGGAACTGTCTTCTAAATGGACAGGGCAGGCAAATTCACGAGCCTCGCTCGGCAGAGTGAGCGGCTCAGAGCGGCCTGAGGAGCCCCCCACCCCCGCACCCAGGGAGGCCTTACTTACAGGACGGGATGATGAACTGCGGCTCGGTGTTGCCCGCGTAGCCCAGCTTGGTGTACCTGAAAGCACGAAGCCATCGACACGAGTTAGAAAGTGACACTCTCCTCCGCATCCCGCTCCCATCTTTTGTGATACACTCTCCACGTCCTAAAATTGCGAGCCTCAGAGGGAGCCCTTGAAATTTTTTTTTTTTAACAAAATTTTTTTTTAAAAACCAGCTGCGACAGCTGGGACTCAAATGCCAGTTTCGGAAAAGCAAGCAATCGCAAAAATGTGAGGCACTGCGCTTGTTTCTATGGGAAAAATTCTGGCACACATGCATGAACCCATAAATCAAACCTGCGGGTCCCTAACAACTTTAAAAGTGCTTTTACGCTCTTCACAAAAACCCTGTGAAGGAAGTGAACAGTATCACTGCTGCGAAAACGCGCGAACGAGCCAACCGAGGCAGTAACTCGGCTCCCCAGGGCCGAGCCCGGCAGGCAGAGACGGAGCCCCCGTTTCCACCCGTTGCCACGCCACCTCCACCTCCAGAACTGCCGCTCGCGAAGTCCCCACACTTGTGACCTTCGGGCAGGGAGGGGATGATTAGAAAGCGCTCACAGAATTCTCTTAAAATGCCACGGCATGCGGCAGCAACAGCTCCCGCCACCGCCTGCAAATGTCTGACAGAAGCGTCTCTTTACCATCCCGTTTCAGAACGAGCCCATGTTCTGTCAAGATACTCAGTGTGAGAGATTCCAAAAGTCTTGCCTGAAGTGAGTGCCAAAATACTACTATCTGTTCCAAAAGCATCTGCTAATCTCCTACATTTAAAAAAAAAAAAGGAAAAAAAGGTGGGGGAGGGGAAGCACCCCCCAGAGCCATCTGCTGGCAGCGCGTCCTGCCCGGCGCTGCGACGCTGCGACACTGCGGCCAACGGGCAGGCTGGACAGCGAGCCCTGCCTGCAGCGGTGCGTGTCCCGAATGGACGCAGCCGGCCAGGCTGCGCGTGGCTTTGTTCATTCAGTGCGTCTTACAAATTCCTTCCAGGATGCTTGATACTAATTTGTTGAGGTGGCAATATGTTCCAAATTCTAATAAATTAATTTTACAATTTTTAAATGTCTTCTGCCATGTGCTGATTTCACTCCTTTGAACGCAGAGTGAATGAACAGGGTTTGAGGAGACAAAACAAAAGCAAGTCAGCACCACTCAGATCTCACCGTACGGTCCCGTCTCCCGTGACCAGAGGTCTCGGTGTCACAGAAGCCTGGGCAAGGCCAGGCCCCGAGACCCATGTGCCGGGTCTCCCAAGTTCCCCAGACACGCGAGTCCACGTGCACCCCCCCGTTTCCCGCCCTGGGGTTCACCAGACCCACAGGGCGGGTTCAAACCCAACCACGGCCAGGGAGCTTTCCAGAGGGGTCAACATATATATTGACCTTAAAAAAATTCCAATCACTCCCAATTCAACCCTCTCTCTGGAGACAACAAACACAGGCAAACTGAATCACTGGCCCGAGGCTAAAGCCGCCTACCCGTCTAACAAGCAGCCAGAAGCCACTAAAATCACCCCTGCCAGGTCTGTGGCACCAACAGGCCGCGCTGCCCGCCCCCTGCAAAGCCACGCCCCTTGTGTTTAAATACAGCCCCTTCCCAAGCAGTGAAGCTCCTGACTGGCACGGTGACCCACGCGGGGTGCTGTCTCGACGGGGCGCCACCCGGCAGCGCCCAGCCCACAGCAGACACTCTGAAAACAGCCGCTGAGCGAGGTCTTACCAGACAGGGGAGGAGGCAGCCCCCACCAGGCTCGGGGGAAGGGCCCCGGGTTTAGGGGGGATGCTCAAAACCAACCCGGTGGGTCCAGAAAGACCAGACACCGTGCAGCACCTGTCACAGTGGAAGCGTCCCACCCGAGGACGGCGCCTTCCGAGCCCTGTCCCTGCAGGAGGCTCTCCACTGAGACCCTGCCAAGCCCAGCGTCAGACCCCAACGTCACCCGTGCGCACGGCTCTGCGCTCGAGACTTTCTCAGTTTAAAAAAGAAGTGAGACTTCGCTGCCTGAGAATATGGTTTTAATAAAACTAAAATCATCCCCAAGTCCTAATGATATATTTCTAGATCGTAATTAATATGTGACCAAGTTCCTCCAACGGTCCCTATGTTGCTGAACTGGAAACTGGCGTCTGCTTGCAGGACAGAGTTTGATGTGTACCTTCAAATGTATTGCTTTACCTAAGTCCAATACCCGTTCTTCTGGCTCTCTGACCTATAAATTTACGGTACCTAACATACAGCCTCCAGCAGAAGGAAGGCCTGCCTGAGTGTGGCTGGTAGGGTAATGACATGGGCGTGGTAATTTATAGTTTTAATCTGAATATTTCACCCAAAATGGCTTATGGTGTGCTTGAATGTGACAGTGTTACGTTACAGAATTTCGTGCTTACACTATTCTAATAAAAACCTCTATAATAAAGAAGGGGCTTTCTTTGCGTCAGACCCTGCGCTTGTCCATTTCTCCTACAGGCAACATTCTCCGCTCTCCACTTGGTAAACAGGAGATCGCACGGCACATACAGGCTCTTTGTAGATTCTGAGCATCATCAAGTGGATTCTGACTCCCAGGTTAAAGTGGGAGGCTAGACATCTAATTTCAGTCTCAAAGCCGCACTAAAACCAAAGCAAAATGATTTCTTAAAAGATGTATGGGGAAAAAAGGATGAAGCAATAGCAAAATTCCGACCCTGGGTAACAGAGGGTCGGTGGTAACTGGCTTTGGAGATACAAGAAAACCCCAAAAAGCCATGGCTGAGAACCAGCCCACACACCCCCTGGGTTCGGAAAGGCTCCGGAATCAGCAGCTGCACAGGACCCATGGAGCTGGGGTTCGAGGGCCCAACCCCGGGGCCTGGGGGAGCCTCCCCACCCGTCCCCCTCTGCTGGGTCATGGCACCCCCCGCCGGCAGCATTCTCCGAAACCTGAAGACCCTAATACACCAGGAGAGTCCCCAACAAACCACCTGCCTCAGGCACCCTTGCTGAGGCTCAAAACCAGCAAGCCAAGGCGACGCGGGCCAAGGTTCTGGTAGCTCTTCAGTTTCCCGACTTTTAATCCTGAGTCGGCACCCCGAAACTAGCAACATCAGAGAAAGGCCTTTACTATGAAATAGAAACGAAAACAAATTTAAAAAACTTGGAGAAACAGAAACTAGAGGGAGAAACCCCACCAGCACCAAAAATAAATCAGTAAATCAATCCATTGTCATGAATATCCTGAGAAGACATTATGTCCAAGAAACAAGAACAAAATGCTATTTTTTGTATTTATTTTTTAAGTATATTTTATTATGTTATTACAGCTGTCCCAATTTTTCCCTTTGTCCCCCTCCGCCTGGAAACCTTCCCTCCAGCAATCCACCCCCGATTAGTTCGTGTCCATGGGTCGTGCACGGAAGTTCTTTGGCTTCTCCATTTCCTATACTATTCTTAACCTCCCCCCGTCTATTTTGTGCCTACCATTTATGCTTTTTAATCCCTGTACCTTCCCCCCTCTCCTCCCTTCCCCCTCCCAGCTGATAACCCTCCATGTGATCTCCATATTTATGATTCTGCTCCTGTTCTGGCTGTTTGCTTAGTTTGGTTTTCTTTCTTGTTTTGTTTTTTTTTTTTAGATTCAGTTGTTGATAGTTGTGAACTTGTTGCCTTTTGAATGTTCGTAGTTTTGATCTTCTTTTTCTTAAATAAATTTGTCCCTTTAACATTTCATATAATAAGGGCTTAGTGATGACGAACACCTTTAGGCTTTACGTTGTCTGGGAAGCACTTGATCTCTCCTTCCATTCTAAACGATAGCTTTGCTGGGTAGAGTGTCTAGGTTGTAGGTAAGATACTATTTTTTTAAAAGAACATTTAGAAAACACAAAGAGCTTGTGGAAATTAAAAATTTAGAGCAAAGCCCTGGCTGGTGGGGCTCAGTGGACTGAGTGCCGGCCTGTGGAACAACGGGTCGCTGGTTTGATTCCCAGGCAGGGCACAGGCCTGGGCTGAAGGCCAAGTCCCCAGTGCAGGGCATGTGAGAGGCAACCACACATGGATGTTTCTCTCCCTCTTTCTGTCTCCCTTCCCCGTATCTAAAAATAAATAAATAAAATCTTTTTTTTTTTTTTTTGGCCTGGTGAAAGAAACGATACATAGGGAAGATGTACTGGCAACTTCTATGATGAAGGGTGGGTGCCCGCGGGGGCAGAAGGGCGGTGACGGGCCTGCGCACAGGCTCTGTCCTGGCTGGCGTCCGGGCGCTCGGGCCTCAGGAGGGGCCCGCCAGTCCCTGAAAGGTAAGAGCGGTCGCGGGTGCCTAACCCACGCAAGCAGCTGTCCACGCCGGGCGCCCGCTGTCTGGGACTCTGGAACGTCGGCCATGGCTGGCGGAGGGGGCCCGAGCAGCCCCCAGCAGAAGCCTGGGCAGAGCCGGAGCGAGCTCCCCGCCGGTGGCCCTGGCGCGCGGCTGCGGCGCCGAGGGCCCTGGGAGCCGGGCCTGGCCGCCGCCTCCTGGCCTGCCTCCTGCGCCTTCTCCCTTCGGCTGCCTTTGCTTTGCGCCGTTTCAATATGGTCCTCTGCTCGTTCCTAGCAAATCGCTGCACTCAGGGCCACATGCAGGACTCTGAACACATGCTAATATATGGAGAACTTCCAAAAATAAAGTTGAAGACCAAAAACCCACAGAAAAAGGGGCTAGTGAAATGAAGAGACAGAAAACAGAAATGCAAATGCTTCTCACTCATATGAAAGATGCTCATTTTCCCACGTAATGATCTAAGAAATTCAGATTAAAACTACAATAAGATGTGTCATTTCTGCCCTTGCGGATTGGGAAAAAATAATAAGAAACGGCGACACGCTGTGTTTGTGAGTCTGCAAGAAGACAGGCGCTCTCACACGCGGCCGGCGGGTACCCACCACCGGGGCGGGTGGGATCGGCACTATCTGGCAAAAGCACGCCCTGCGTTTCCTCTTTGACCCAGAAATCGCACTTCTAGAAATACCACCCAGAGGGTCTCCAGGAAGAAATATAACAAGATGAATGCATTGCACCGGCTATCATTGCAGTCTTTCGATAATAGCAAAATCCGCAAAAAACAACGGGGACGTGTGTGAGGAACGCCAGCAACGGGCCGACTGGGCTTCAGTTGGCCAGGCCTGCAGCAATTGAAGCACCAAAACAAAACTGGCAACAACAGAGTAACCCACTGAATACAGTAATGACATGATGGGTTTTAACCCTTTGAATAGAGCATCAATAATAACCCAGGCGGAAGATAAACGAGGGGAATGGAAAACTGCTTCCCTATAGTGAAATATAATAAATGCAGATAATACTTCCTTTTTTAAATCAGTTTTGCCGCTACCACTGGAATAACCACTACGGGCGAGAGCCACCAGTGGATGCTAAAACGAGTGGGGGAAAGTTTCAGGAAGAACGGGGCACCTCTGCACAGACGCCGCTACCAACAAAAAGGAAAGCAGAGACCAGGCAGCAAAGGAGACGCGTGAGCCCCGCCACACCCAACGGCCGCAGAGAACTTCATCCGGGACAAGGCCAGGCGCTGTCTCCAGCCTTCGGGCAAGACCAGTGGGACCGGGGAGCCGGCGAGGACAGCACAGTGAGCAGCCACCTCTCCTATACGGCCGCGGCCGTGACAGCGGACCTTCGGTGCTCTCCCTGCAGACAACAGATGGTGACTGTCCGGATGGAGGTGTCAGCTAACACAGGGTGATAACCCCTTCGTGCGTGATGATACAAATGTATCATCAAATCAACACGTTGGACACCTTAAACTCACAGCGTTCTATGCCGATTACACGTCCATACCACTGAGGGGGGAGGGGACGCCTTCTGAGAGGCCCGGAGGTGCCCCAAAGACTGGCTGCCGAAAACGTCGGCGTCTTGAAAGACAGAAAATGGCTAAGGAACTGGTCCAGGTAAATGAGACTAAAAGGACACGGTGATATCCACACAGAACGGGTGGAGCTAGATGACAGAGGGGACAAGAGTCCACAGGGCACACACGGGGCCGCGCACAGGAACCCGGGCCACCCGTCCCCTTACTGTATCAGGTTAACCCTTCCGACAGTCATCGTGAGCCTGTGCTAACACAAGCTCCTTGTTCTCAGAACAGACACACTGAAGCACACAGTTCAGAAAAATAATAATGTGGATGGATATACAGAGAATAATAAAGCAAATGGTGACAGTTGGTGAAACTGGATGAAAAACATAGTTTTTTGGTACACTTCTTGCAGCTGTTCAGTAAATGAGAAATTTTCAAAACAGGTTTAAAAAATACAGAATCTTCATTTTAAAAGTTTGGTTGTGAGAAGGGAGACTAGTATTTGTGGATGTTCTCTGCAAACTATGAACCCTAGCAATTCCTTTAAAATAAATGAAGTTTTATCTTTTTTTTTAAGATTTTATTTTTAGAGAGAGAAAAGAGAGAGAAACATCGACTGGTTGCTTCTCACACGCCCCCAACTGGGGACCTGGCCCGCGGCCAGGCCTGTGCCCTGACTGGGAATCGAACTGGCGAGCTTTCAGTTTGCAGGCCAGAGCTCAACCCACCTAGCCACCCAGCCAGGGCTGAGGCTGTATCTTTGGACGAGCAGAGCCCATGACCCCCACACAGGTGCTCAACGAGCTGGTCTGGGGGTTTACCAGGTGCTAGGCTACCAGGGTGGAATTTATCTGCTACAGGACCTACTACTTAGTACACTGTTTACTAAATCGCTGGTGTCCACTATGTCTAGTTAAATGTGGATTTTTCTTCAGTTTTTATTGTTGGCACTATTACTGACGTCCTCCATTTTCCCCCACCTTTGCCCCCTCCACCATCCAGGGCTATGCAGACTTGCACGGATGGACCCAGGCATTATTACGCTAAGGGAAATAGGCCAGTCAGGGAAAGACAAGCAGCGTGTGATTTCACGCAGATGTGGACTCTAAAGAACAAAAACTGATGAACAAAATAAAACCAGAGGCATGGACCCATAGGACAGACGGACAGATCTCAGTGGCGGGGGGGGGGGGGGGGGCGGTGGGGAGGTTCGGTGGGGGGTGGAGAAAATTAGCCAATGTGAATTTTTCTTTTAGAATTTAGTACTAGACAAGGCTCCTTCACCTGAGAAACAGGTATTTCTCTCCCTCCCTGATGACAGGAATTACATAACGAAGATGACTCTCAGTTTGTCACACAGGAAGACTATGGGCAAACACGGCCGGACTGCAGCGCCCCGGTCTGCGCCTGAGGGTGACTCCCCGCCCCCCACCCCCGCCTGCGCTTTTCCTTGGTCCTGGTTATTTCTACTCTGCGTTTTCCCCATTTTGTCCTATTTTGACGTAAAGTCAATCCAAAATCCCTTTTAGCTCTCTAGGAAAGATGAGAAGTACCAACGCACTTTAAGTAAACGTGGGCTCTTCTGGGCTGCTCCGCCCACGGCCCCCGGGCACCGACGTTTCCAGCACAGAACGCGCCCACAAGACGCCCCCGGTGCAGACTACCCACCCCTGCTCCTAAGTCTCAATGCCAAAGCCTATGGCAGCCTGGAGGCAGCAGGACTTTGAGCCACGAAACAGTGACATCCTGCAGTTGTAGCTCCTAAAGAGCCACGTTACATTGATCACTGGCCTCAGAAGGTCAAGCTCTCTGAGGTCATTTTAGATATTTATAGCAAGAATGATGAGTAAAGTCCCCAGCTTACTAATATTAACAGTGACAAATCCTGTGGGCATTATTGTATTGCTACGACCCAAGAAATGCTTTGGATTTCAAAGGTCGGACAAGACAAAAAATACACAAGCAAAAATCGCACATGCAAATGTGGGGGGAAAAATACTTTTACCTGTTGCCTTCATTCTTGACACCTCACCAAACCTCAGGTGGGCACGGGGCGAACACGCGGTGCTGGGCGGAGGGGATGGGCCAGGGAGCACACAACAGGGAGGCCAGGGGGTTAACACCAACCCCGACTTTGGCTTGTGTTTTGAGCAGTAAAATGACCTCTAAAACAAAGAGTCATAACACTTCTGGCACAATGTGTATTTCAAAAAGAAGAATTAGTACAAGCAAAAAGGCAGGGTTTTTTCCCCAGCCTGCAACCACGACTGGTGGCTCCAGCAGCAAAAGGAAAAAAAGATCAGTAGGAGATGAATGGCAGCAAATTAAAGAAGACACCCCCACAAGGTTGTCAGGGAAACCAAAGCAAGTGCATTTATGCACAGAAAGAATCAGAGCTAAGGTGAGCATGCATGATTTCATGACCAAAAAAAAGATTAGAATCCCATCTCAGAAAATCTTTGAGAGACTACATTTCCTTCCCGATTATTTTATTACGTACCTGAGGCTAAAAAGCAAGCAGGCAACCTTGAATTTCTAAACTACCAGCTGGGCAGATTCAGTTTAACACCTTCCCAAAATCAGCTAGGCTTGGACCAAGAGAGTACAAGAAATTTCCAAAGGTCTCTTTTGCCTATCTTGACATCAAGCAATCACACCCAAGAAGTAAAGAGGGGGTGGAGGTGGGAACCCTGTATCACAAACAGGCTTTCCCAAATTTGGACGATGTTTTTCAAAGTGGAGCCTTTTTATGTATTTAGTTTTGCTTTTTTTTTTTCTTTTTTTCTTTTTTTTTAAGAGAAAGGGCAAGTCTACGAAAACTACAGCCAGGGCTTAGCCTGAGTGAGCCCCCCGATACTGGGAAAGAGCAGAGCGCACTGCAAAGCAAGGTGTCCAGTTGGTATATGACTGTAACAGCCTCCGCCAATAAGTGGCGAACAGTCACCAGCCAGGAGCAATGACAGGCACCCGGGGCCAAGGAGAGGGCCACTGTTAAGGGCGTCAGGAGGTGAGGACGCCGTTAGGTGGGCAGGAGGCAGGGAACGCCGGAGTGTCTGCATGCATCTGCCTGAAGCTGGCATCCCGGGGAGGCTGGGAGGCCAGGGGACGCCGCCCGGGAGGAGAGGGGCAGCGAGGCGAACTGGACCGGCTTCTGCCCAGACTCCCTCCCGGTCAAGGTGAGAGGCCTTGGGGGGGCGGGGCGGGCCGCCTCCACCTGCACGGGGGTCGCCAGGTCCCGGGCGCAGGGGAGGGAGGGCGGCCGCGGGGCAGGTGCTCGGCGCCGGCGGCTCTTACCCGGTGCCGCAGTCCACCACGCAGGGAGGCAGGGAGCCCGCCATGCTCCGCACGCGCGCCACTCGGCCCACGCGGGCGGCCCCGGAGGCCCCACCGCCGTCCGCTGGCCGCGCTCGCCCGGCGCTGCCCGCTCCCGGGAGCCTCCGCAGCCCGGCCGCGGGAGCCCGGATGCTCGGCGGCCGCCCACGTGACGCCGCTCTGGCCGGCCAATCACAGCGTGGGCACACCCCCGACGCCCTCCATCTTTAGTGCTGGCGGCGAGACCTCGTTGCCCACACGGCCAACCTTCCGGCTCTAGAGATTGGGGGCTATTTTTAACTGTCTTACGGTGAACGCGACCCGGTTTCCGTGGCCTGTCTCCTCATCCTTTAAGTTTCGGCTCCAATGTCACCTTCTCAATGAAATGTTCCCCTCCTCGCTCCTTTGTATGGCAGCAATCTATTGCTTTCATTCACAACACTTGAAGCAAATTTTTATAAGTAATTATTTGTAGCCTGCCTCCCCCACACTCCGATAGGGCTTGTTTTGCCATTGGTGACCGGTATTGCACCTGTGTGCACAGTATTTGCTGCATCCGCGGAAAGCATCCGGATGTCTGTTGAATGAATGAATAACCTTCACCATAAAGAATGAATATATATACACACACATGCCCGCACACACACATACTAGGGTACATGTTGTTAGACTCATGATACCTAAAAACACTGCAGAATTTTTTCTCTAGAAGCACAATATGCACCCAAAAAATGCATGGGCAGGCTGAGGAAATGAATGATCTTAGACTGAGTTAATACCACATCCAGATCATTACAGGAAAATGTTTTCAAGTATCAAAGATGGAACCATCCAAAAGTTCTCACCAAAACCAGGGACCAAAGCAGGCCAGCACCTACCACGTTATAAAGGCACTGGCTTTCGGCTTCCTGCCCCATCGCAAACTCTTGACAATTTTTAGGAGCTTTCTGGAGACATAGTTCCGTGTAGCTTAACTAGTACTTAGAGCATTGTGTTTTTTCTCTGCGAGAATAAGTTAGTTGGTCATTCTATGTAACTCATGATCATTTGTTTTGCTTAATTTACCTATTAGGGTCACATAAGGCCCAGAGCTAGAACATGCTTCCCCTCGAGTTTCGTTAAGCAACACCATTAGCTTCCTGGAGCTGCCCTAACAAAGCTCCGCAAACTGGGCGGCTTAAAACAACATGTCTCCCGGTTGTGGAGGTAGACGACATAAGTCAAGGTCTGAAGGCCCTAGGGGAGGCTCTGCTCTGTGCTTTTTTCCCTAGTTTCCAGTGTTGCCATCCATCCTTGCGGTTCCTTGGGTGGTAGGTGCCTTGCTCCAGTCGCTGCCTCCGCGGTCACGTGGTCTCCTCCCTGTGCGTATCTGCATTTCACGTGACATTCTCTTCCCATAAGGATATGAGTTATCCTGGATGGAGGAAGGCCTACCTTAACGACCTCCTTTTAACTTGAGTGCTGCAAAAGCCTTGCTTCCAGAAATGATCACATTCCTTGCGTTAGGGTGGCTGGTGACGCAGGCTGTGAAAGAATTGATGAAAGAGGAAAATGCAGAGAGCAAAGTTTTATTTCTGCTTTCCCAGAGGAGGGAAAGGGGTAGGTGCAGAGAAAGGCACCAGCCCTGAGGGGTAGGGGTTGTGAGTTTCTATTGGATCAAAAAAAGGGGCGGGGCCCTGGCTGGTGTAGCTCAGTGGACTGAGAGCTGGTCTGCTAACCGAAAGCTTGCAGGTTCAATTCCCAGTCAGGGCACGTGCCTGGTTTCGGGCCAGGCACCCAGATGAAGGCATACAGGAGGCGACCAATTGATTATCTCTCACATGGTCAGATGTTTCTCTCCCTCTCTTTCTCTCTCCTTTCCACTCTGTAAAAATAAATTATTTTTAAAGAAAAAGGCAGCAGCTGTAGCTGGGTAGTCATGGCAATTAGTTGTAAGTCCGGAAATTTCAGGCTGATAGTGCAGCTTCAGTTTGTTATGCTGTTATCTTTGGGTTCAGGGTCCAGGCATGTCCTGTTTGCATAAGTTTTAAAACACCTGCGCGGAGGATGCTTCTAGTAATCTTCCCAGACCTGAGAATAGAGGCACAGAGAAACAACAGTCAGTGATGCCCGACAGACTTAAGGAAAGAGAGCGAGCGCAGATGAGGAGAGCCTGAGAGGGGCTTTTTGTCCTTTCATCTTGTACCAGGAGTTAGGACTCCGGCATGTCTTTTTAGAGGACACAATTCAACTCGTAATACTCGCCTATGCCCCAAGCAGCCATCGGTGAGGGAAGCGTTGTACCGCGATTGGCTTCCAGCGGTGTCCAGCCTGCGGCCGGCGGGCCGCGGGCCGCTCAGGATGGCTGTGAATGCGGCCCAGCACAAAAATGTAAATTTACTTAAAACATTATGAGATGTTTTTGTCATTAGGTGTTGCAGTGTATTTAATGTGTGGCCCAAGACAACGCTTCTTCTTCCAGGGTGGTCGAGAGACGCCCAAAGGCTGGGCACCCCTGGAAGGCCGACCCCTTCAGCTGGAGAGGGGCCGCGTGTCCCTGAAACGTACCGCTGCCGACACCTGACGGGAACTGGGTTTGATCAGCAAGAAGGGACTGACAACAAATAGTTTCTGCCTCACTCGTCATTTTCTTAATTAAACTTTTTTTCTCACTCATCCTGTGCCCTTTCACTCCTCTGGCCTCTGCTCAGGATTGTCATTTAAACAAATCATCCTGTTGACCCAGCTGGAGCTTTGCCACCTCTGTGGTCAAACCCAGTCCCGGGGGGGAGGGGGTGGGGGGGCTCCCAGTGTCTCCAGTTCACTGGCTGCTACCTGGCGACTGGTACGAACTCAAAAAATGGCTACCCAATCAGTAAAAGTCATCAGGCAGGTTTTGAACCTCTCGATTACACGTAACATTTGCTTATTATTAGCTTTTTATTATCCCAAGCAAATAAAGCAGAATATTATGTATTGCTTCTGTGTTAGTATTTTTACTGGATTTTTTTTTCTGTACAGGGTGGGGCAAAAGTAGGTTTACAGCTGTGGGTACGGAAAATAATACAGTGATAAATAATAATACGAAAACAAACTGCTTCGCCTACTCACAACTGTAAACCTAACTTTGCCCCACCCTATATATCACAGTATGTGCTTCTGAGTTCTTCTTGGATCGGAAACTCCCGTAGATAAGGGACAGATGACATCGCTTTTGACAGGGTCTAGAGCAGAACCCCCCTCCAGAGAAATAAAGCTCTTACTCCATAAGAAGCACTTCAAGTGCTGCTGAGGAGGTTTGCTCCTTCCAACAGGCTTCACAAAATTCTCTCTCCTGGTGATGGGGGGAAATTTTTAGTTGGTTTTCTTTAACAACGGGGCATCTCTATACGTGCTTCTGCCCAGCAACAGCCGCCTTCCACCCTCAATAGGCAGAAACGTGGAAACCGGAACACTCCCTGGGTAGAACTCAGCATCTGCTGGGTGGTGTGTGATGAGGCTTTTCCCTAGCTGCCACCCTGAGTCCTGCACAGCCCAGCACCGCCCTCGGGTGAACTTTTAATAAACACCTTTGGATGCGTTTTTATGCCTGTGAAGCCAACTTTAAAAAACAACCAGGGCTTAGAGGTCGTTGGCCCAATGGGATTTAGTCAGTGAGCCCTGGGACCATGTGATCTTAATTTCCTGCATTTAACTAGTCATGCTGGGCCAAGAAGGAGAAAGAACACAAAAACTAAAGGCCGCCTTCAAAGACAGCCCACCCGGCGGCTCTGGGAACCTTCGAGGGCAGAGCTGCGGGCAAGAGCCATCTGTGTGTTCCCCGTTGCCATGAGGACGCAAACGGAGGAAGGAGCACCCAGAAATCGGTGCCCTGCTCCTTTCAAAGCAGCTGGCATTCCGCTTGGAGGGGAAGGGCCCATCGCTGCGCTGCATGGACCTCCCAGAGGTCTTGGCAACAGCAGGGAGACACGGTCCAAGGGGGAGCGGGTCGGCCGCAGTGTGTCGACGGTGCCAGAGTTGGTAACACACCTGAAACCGGAAGATGGCACAGGAAGGACTGGCTAGCTGCTCTGACCGCGTTCAGGCCGACTCTGCCGGGTCCCCCACCCCACCCCACCCCGCAGCGAGGGCTGGTCCTGGACTCCCCCTCCCCTCCCCTGCTCCTCCACTTCCACGCGGCTGCCAAGTCCTGTTCACTCAGCCCCGCCGCCTGCTCCCCTGCGTCTACGGCCCCGCCTTTTACCTCCTGTCACTCATCCTCAGCTGCTCAATAGCTTCCCTCTTGCCTTGCTGTCTCCCCGCTTCTGCCTGTCCAAGACGGCTCCTGGGCAAACAGTCCTGCCCCCCGGCGCCAGGCCAAAATGCAGGGAGCCCGTACATCTTGTTCATCTCCTTTCCCCCGAAGCTTTGGCAACCCCCTATTATTATGGAATGGGATCCAGGCCCTCTCCTACGACAAGGTCCTCTGTGATCTGCTCCCGAGTTACCTTTCAAACCTCATCTCACACTATGCGCCTTGGCCCGTCTGGGAACAGGGGCCCCATGCCTAACCCTCCACGTTGCCAGGTCTTCTTCATGCAGGCCCTCTGCCTAGAACATTCTTTACCTGCTCTATCCTCTTCATCCTGCAGGATGCCTTTCAAAGCTCACTCATCCTTCCCGTTTCGATTCAAACCTGCCTTATTTTTCTCAACAGCATAGGGGGGGGACTTGTTTATGCCCCGACTCAGCCAGGCGCTAACCCTACGTTGGTGAGTCGGAATCTAGAGATGAAGCCTGGGCACGTGCATTTTGAGACAGTCCTCTGTTCTACCAAACAGAAATGTGGGTCCGCTTGGAGCTATTTCCTATCCAAGTCTTACGGTGAACTGAATTCCAGTAACAGCTTAGCTTACGAAGCATTTCGATGCATCATCGCCTTCAACCTTCATAACAATCACATGGGTAGATATTGCAAACGGCTCTCTTCATCAAGAAAACCGAGGCTCAAGCCGTGGCCGGGTAGCTCCATTGGTTAGGGCATCATCGAGATGCCATGTTTGTGGGTTTGATCCCCGGCCAGGACACATACAAAAGTCAACAAAAGAATGCCTAAATAACTGGAACAGCAAATCGATGTTTGTCTCCTTCGCCCTTCCTCCCTCTTTGGAAATCAATAAGTAA